GCAGCCTCGACCTGCTGGGCTCCGGCGATCCTTCCGCCTCAGCCTTCCAAGTAGCTGGAACTACAGGCGCGTGCTACCACACCCGGCTAATTTATTTATTTATTTATTTTTTATTGTGGAGATGAGGTCTCGCCAAGTTGCCCAGGCGGGTCTCGAACCCGCGGGCTCAGGCAATTCACTCACCTCAGCCTCCCAAGGCGCGGGGTTACAGGCTGAGCCACCAAGCCCGGCTTGAATCTTAAGTTTCAATGTGTCAATTTTCAAGTTTGCTTATTTATTTATTTATTTATTTTTGAGTCTCACTGTCACCCAGGCTGGAGTGCAGTGGCATGCTCATGGCCATTGCAGCCTCGACCTGCTAGGCTCAGATGATCCTTCTGCCTCAGCCTTCCATGTAGCTGGAACTATAGGTGCATGCCACCACACCCAGCTGATTTTTTTTTTTTTTGATGTATTGTAGAGATGAGATCTTTCTAAGTTGCCCAGGCAGATCTTGAACTTCTGGGCTCAGGCAGTCCTCTCACCTCTGCCCCCCAAGTGCTGGGATTACAGGTGTGAGACACCGTGCCCAGCCTCAAGTTTATTTTTTTAAATAGGCAATATATCTTCATTGTACAAATTTAAAAGAAACAGAGTGTAAGCATTGACAAGTAAGTCATCCTGTATAACCTAGCCCCCAATTGCTGTCTTGAAGTCAGTTTTTGTCTACAAAGGATTCATGGTGACTGGCTTATTTTAAGTTTTTATTAAAGAATGAGAGGACTGGGCACAGTGGCTCATACCTGTAATTCCAACACTTAGGGAGGCCAAGGTGGGAGGAGTGCTTGAGCCCAGGAGTTTGAGACCAGCCTAGGGAATATAGCAAGACCTCGTCTTCACCCCTTGCCAACTTCCCCCACCCCCCCAAAATATATAGAGAGAAAGATCAATCGATTGATCTAGTTCCCAATAATGTATACACATTTTAAGAAAGGAAAATACTGTATTAATTTAATTGTAATAATAAGATGAATACAAGTCACATTTGACTTCTGCAATTACAAGAGGTGCTCAGAGTGATTACCATCAGCATCCAGACATTTCTGATCATGGCAAGCATGTCTTAACATGACTTAAAATTTATATACATTTTTTTTTTTGGCACCCCTGGTATATAAGTGTGGTAGCACACACCTGTAATCCCAGCTACTCCACAGGCTGAGGCAGGAAGATTGCCTGAGCCCAGGAGGTTGAGGCTGTGGTGAGCCACGATCATGCTACTGCATTCCAGCCCAGGTGACAGAGTAGACCCTCAATTAAAAAAAAAAAAAATTAAATAAATACAAGAGAGAGAAACATGGCTTACTAAGAAAACTGGAAGCACTCCTTATGAGCCGACCTCACTATGTTTCTGAAAATGAAGCAGTCTGAATGTGATTAGGAGATGAAAGTGAATGGAAGGAACTTCAAGAAAATTTAAAGAACAGTAGAATTTTGATATGGAGGGGTAGGATGGTCTCCTCTGTGGTTAGTCACTGAGAACAGTGATTGGCAGTGATCTTTTTTTTTTCCCCCATGTAGGCTTTGCTAAACATAATCCTCCTAATGTGATCTTTCTGGATCTTTCAGTTGGATTTACTTTTCTGTAGTTCTGTCTTTTATGAGGAAATTACCTATTTAAACACCAGAGCATTTACTTTGCTAGCTGTATTATACATTTAGTTTAATTTTCAGTTGCCTATGGTAATAGAGGAATTCTAATTGTTCAAGTGAAAGGCTTTGACTGACATAAGTGGTAAAGAGTTTATTTTGAACAACTGGTAACCAAGAGGGCATATTTTGGCAGCAAAAGATCAAAATAGGCTTTAGGCCTTCTGACATGACATTTTGATTTTTTGGACTATGGTAAGGTCAGGTAAGTGTATTGTGTATGGCAATTAAAATATCTTTCCTGCAGTGAAGCACATAGGAGGATTGTTACTTCTCTCTTTATGCTTATTCACTAAATCCCATGCTTCATGATGGAGTGAGCAAACAAATTAAGTCAGAAAATAACCTAATAACCTGTTACCAACCAGTAGGTGGGTAGATAAAAAGTCTTCTTGATTTATCTTAATAAAATATTATATCTGTAATCATATTTACCAAGTGAGTCTTTGAATTTTTGTCTCAGAATCTTTGTTTTGATCACCAAATTGTAGCGTAGATGATTCTGTTTGTGGCATCATTATCCCACATAATAATGGATATTGTCTTAAGTGTGTTATTTATTAGATAAATCATATTCTCTAGACATTTATTTTCTAGGTAAAAGAATATGCTGGACAATCTAAAGACTAACCAGATAATGTGATACTAAAATCAGTAACTGAATTGCAGCCATTGTGTTTCTTTTCTTTTTTTTTCTTTTGAGTCTACGTCTCAGTCTGTCACCCAGGCTGGAGTGCAGTGGCATGCTCACGACCAACGACCACTGTAGCCTCCATCTGCTGGGCTCAGGCAATTCTTCCATCTTATCTATCCAAGTTGCTGGAACCACAGGCTTGTAACACCACGCCCAGCTAATTCTTTTTGTTTGTTTGTTTTTTGTTGTTTGTTCTTTGTTTTTGAGTTGGAGTCTCACTCTGTCTCCCAGGCTGGAGTGCAGTGACACGCTCCGGTCACCACAGCCTCAGCCTGTTGGGCTCAGGCGATCCTTCCACCTCAGCCTTCCAAGTAGCTGGAACTACAGGCACGTGCCACCATGCCCAACTAATTTTTTGGATTTACTGTAGAGATGAGGTCTCACCAAGTTTGCCCAGGCTGGTCTTGGGCTCAGGCAGTTCTCTCACCTTGACCTCCCAAAGTGCTGGGATTACAGGCATGAGCCACTGTGCCCGGCCTTTTTTTTTTTTTTTTAATGGTAAAAATGGCCTTTATTGGTTGCAGCAGGACATGAAAGAGAAGAAATGGCACCTTTTGCTCCTGGGACGGCATCTGCAGACTGGGTCGCCATCATCCCAATTATTTGATTTATTGAAGAGACAAAGTCTCGACATATTGCTCAAGCTAGTTTCGAATTCCTGAGCTCAGCAGTCTTCTCATCTCTGCCTCCTAAAGTGATGGGATTACAGACGTGTGCCATGGCATCTTGCTATGTTTCTTTTCTTGCTAAAAAAAAAGATAGTCACACAACGCTTAGTTTCTCAAACTTTTAGCAAGGGACTTTACTATGGGTTGACAGTTTTTTAGAATCTTTTCAATATAAATACAATTGTAGCTGCTGTCTCCTATCTTGTCTCATTTATGTTTACAGAATATATATATTCAGCACCACCTTGCTAATCTTTGGTAACAACTGGGAACTTCACTGCAAAACATGATTTTAAACTCACTCGCACAGGGCCATAGTGTATAGTATTTTGGTGTGTGTGTTTGAGTGTTTTTACAATTTTTAAATGACTTTAAACATTCATTGGTTGTAGATATCCTCATTATATTGGAAATAATCTGTAATTTTGATAGAGTATCATTTTTCTTCTTGGAACTAAATAGATTTCTAGATCTGTGAGTCAGGATTTGAGTGTACTTTCTTGTGTAATATAGCAATTTTTCCTTTACCATATTGTCTGAAAGAAGGTTGTATTTGAAACACCATATTTTATTGAATCTCAAACACCACTGATTACATTATTATTTTCTGTATTACTAGGAAAGAAAAATAATTTCTCTTAAACTGACAAGCCATTGATTATAAAATGCATCCCAATTTCAGAGATGTTAATGTGAAAAACTTACACCTAATGAGTTAATGGTAATATTACCAACTACCTTAAATTTGCATAATACTTTGTAGACTTCACTTACACATGTCATCTGATTTTATCTTCTAAATAAAACTTACTTGTGAGGTTGATTAAATTATCCCCAGTTTTCAGATGAAGAAACTGAATTTCACAGAGATATGTTCTCTCAGCATTGTTATACCAGTGAACTGGTCTCAAACCCACTTATTCTTTCTTACTCTAAGACTTATGATATGATTGACAATGTCACCTCTCCCATGCCTGTACATACACATACATAACTATAAAATTATATGACCTAGATTTTTCTCTCTGTTGCGTAATGTACATATTTCATATCTAGGCTTGCCTATTTTTCATATGCTGTTTATATATCTTGATTTTATTGTTCGTTTTGAGTACTTTAAAAATGTTTAGTGTATGTTTTAATATTAAATCATGTTAGAATCTGCTAATGTATGAATTGTTTTAATTCTGGGTTGCCTGACCACCAGGAAGCTGTATATGCTGTCACTGATTATTTAATACATGTTTTGGAAGCAGTTATCTATTTCTGTCTGACTGGGTAAAATGTTCAGGAATGGTATTAGTTGATCTGTGAAGTGATACAGAGAATTGTACTGTTCTTGGTGAATCAAGGTCATATCTGCTTCTTTCCCAGGTGGTGGCTAATGCTGTAGCAGCATTATCTGAAATCAGTGAGTCTCACCCAAACAGCAACTTACTTGATCTGAATCCACAGAACATTAATAAGCTGCTGACAGCCCTGAATGAGTGCACTGAATGGGGCCAGATTTTCATCCTGGACTGCTTGTCTAATTACAACCCTAAAGATGACCGGGAGGCTCAGAGGTCAGTTTGTTTTCCTGTTTAGTATCTGGTAGTCTTGCCTGATTTGGTAAGTTCTAGAGTCTGCTATTAGACTAAGAGTCTACTGTATTGAAGAAGATCAGTGGCCCGTAGGGTAGATACTGGTGTATCTCCTAGGTATTTTCTCATTGGATTTAGGAACGTTTTAGGTGGTGGAGGAAACCATGGAAAAAATAACTCTTTCCAAGAAATGTATGTTTTTTATTTCTTATTTTAATAGTAGAGTTACCTCTGCTAAGATTTCTTTCATAGTCTCATGTCTCCCATATAGGAGTTCTTGGCCCTTTGCCAAAACAAAGATCACTGAATGTCTTTCTTAGTAGTGACTGACTTTTCATTCTATTAGATACATAGTAAGTGGCTTCATATTAGTTATTCAACTGAACTATAGCTATAATTCAGTGCTAGCTATTATTCAGTATTAGCTATAATTCAGTACTATGTTAAAGTCAGCAAAGTATATACTGCTTCCCATTAGATTTAGAAATTGTGTCCGTTTGAATTTTGAGAAGAGCGTGGAAGGCACACCTAGATTGTTCTGCTCAGCCTTTTACCATCTTAATGTTGCAAATTTTCTTTGACTGTTATAAATTACTGCATTTCATCTACATGTATACACATTTTAGTTTACAAAGTTGGAATTATTACTGATTTTTATTGAGCATTTTGTGTACGTTGGCATTGTACTAGGCAAAGTACTTCTGAAGAAATGTTGTCTCTTCATTAATGTGGCATATTTTAATTATGGTAGATAGGACCCTTCCTTGCTTGGCTGAAGCTGATTTCCAAGCTACTAGAATATAAGTACTCTTCGGCTGTCTGGGAAATTGTTCCCTATAAACTGTGTGTTTATCATTGAAAGAACAAATATATTCTGGAAAACTTTGTGGAATATTTTATTTTCTATTGGTTATAGACAACATATTCATTCATTCACTCAGCAATTATTCATTCGTTCATTCATTCATTCACTTATTTATTTATTTAGAGTGAGACCCTAGTTGGAACCATAGGTGTGCACTACCATGCCTGACTAAGGTTTTTATTTATTGTAGAGAAGAGGTCTCACCAAGTTTCCCAGGCTGGTCTTGAACCCCTGGACTCAAGTAATCCTCTTGCCTCAGCCTCCCAAAGTGCTGGGATTACAGGGTGTGCCACAGTGTCCAGCTAGCAAACATTTATTAAGTGTATGCTCTGTGCCAGGCACTGTTCTTAGGCCCTAATAATATAGCAGTGAACAGACGAAAACCATGGCCCTTATGGAGTACTTACTCTGAGAGCTGGGGCTAGGAATATATATATATATATAATAGGAATATGTAATACAATATATGTCAGATGATGATAATTGCTAACAAGAATGATAAAGTAGGGAAAAGATCTAAGAAATGCTGGGGGTTTGGGGATGGGGGGGGTTGTATTTTTTTTTTCTTTTCTTTTAAAAGAGTGGCCAGGGTAGACCTTGCTGAGAAGGTAGTGTTTGTGCAGAGACCTGAAGGAGGTCAGGAGTTGGCTAAGTAAATAGAGGAGGAAGAGAGAAACACAGCTTACTTGTCTTGTTTCCTTAACATAGTAAGCCAGCAACTCATGTTTCTCAAGAGCTGTCAAAATTAGGTTAATTTCTAAAGAAAGCTCATCAGATAATCAAGTATATAAAATTTCATGAGGCATGTAAGTGTAGGTGGCAGGGGCTAGGAAAAGGGGAAGAAGTTGGGAGAATATTGTGATGGTGTTCTGCTGTTTAAAAAACAAACCAACCCCTTTCAAAGATTCCCTTATCCTGAAGACAGAGGGTTGGATTATTTTCCGTGCCAACTCTGTATTTTACGATGAAACTTTCAGTCACAGCTGGGTTGATATCTCTCACTAAGAAATAACTCTCAGAATGTTTAACTTTACTTCCTATAGTTGAGTAGAAATGGGCTGTGAGGCAGGGAATCCTAACATAATATGGGGAGACAAAGAGAACTATAAAACAAGAAGGTAAATGGTGTGAGCACAAGTGTTTTAGGTATTGCTAATTTCCTTCCAGTTTGAACATCCCTTGTTGCTGGTATCCTGATGTCTTCTGGTGTTCCTGCTCTGCCTGTAGTTTGCTGGGAATAAGGCTTCTGCAGTGTTAGATCCTAATTTTACCTAAGCATGGAGCTTTAACTCTTCTAACCTATTCTTTAATTTATTGATATTTGGTCTATAAGACTTTCTGACACATTTCCTTACAGAAGGAATTGAGCAAAGAAATTATAACGCATGATATTAATTTTCCTTTTCTGCCCTCAGCATCTGTGAGCGGGTAACTCCCCGGCTGTCCCATGCCAACTCTGCGGTGGTGCTTTCAGCGGTAAAAGTCCTAATGAAATTTCTAGAGTTGTTACCCAAGGACTCTGACTACTACAATATGTTGCTGAAGAAGTTAGCCCCTCCACTTGTCACTTTGCTCTCTGGGGAGCCAGAAGTTCAGTATGTTGCCCTGAGGAACATCAACCTAATTGTCCAGAAAAGGTTGGGAAATAGTGAATCGGTGATTAAAGTATTTTTAATTTTGCATTAAGCTTAACAATATCAATGTTAAGTAGGCCAGTGTTAATCTCTTTTTAATATATTGAAATAAAAACATTCTATTGCAGAGCAACTTGCCCAGGATCAGGAGGTTAACTGTCGGTAGCGTAGGGTTCCTAGAATCGGTGCTTGGTGTTGCTCTACAATCCACTTTGTTTTCTGAAGGATCTCTTGTTAATATACTATCTAGTGCCTGCTGGATATGGTTCAGGCTATAGTTTAGAGCCAGATTGTTGTTCTTTTAGCAGTTCTTCATGGCAACATGTACCCTGATGTTTAAAAAGGATAAAAATAGTCTGCCAAATGGAACTGATAAGAATAGAAGAATATAGAGGAAATTTGTGCATTTTTTTCTTGAGGAGGAGTGGGAGGAGAGTGGAAAGATCCAAATTAGATATTAATAAAGACTCAGAAGGATATTTTAATATATGCTTTCCTTTCTTCTGTTTCTGTGTACCACAGGCCTGAAATCTTGAAGCAGGAAATCAAAGTCTTCTTTGTGAAGTACAATGATCCCATCTATGTTAAACTAGAGAAGTTGGACATCATGATTCGTTTGGCATCTCAAGCTAACATTGCTCAGGTCAGACTTTAAGCAAATTCAAGTTTATTATGATTCAGATCTTGAAGTCCTGTCTTCAGAAGAAGTTAGACTATGATATGTGATGCTGTTTGAGAATCCTTCCTTAATGATTATTCACTTCCTGGATTTTTAATAGGTTCTGGCAGAACTGAAGGAATATGCCACAGAGGTGGATGTTGACTTTGTCCGCAAAGCTGTGAGGGCCATTGGACGGTGTGCCATCAAGGTGGAGGCAAGTGTCTGATAGTAGTTGTGAGCACATATTAGGGGATTCTGAGTGTTCTCTTCACTTTTTTCTTTAAAATACATTTTTTAAGTTTATCAAAATAATAAAGCACATAACTAAAATATTAAACAATGTTTAATGAAAAGCACCTGTTCCTGCTCCCTTCCTTCCCTGCCTCTATTCTTTTCCCAGAGATTATCATTTTAACTTTACTTTTGGTTTTAGTTTTTCTTTTGAGTATAGCTGGCACTCTTTGTCCATGGGTTGCATATTCATGGATTCAACTGCAGTTTGAAAATATATATATATATATATATATATTTTTTTTTTTTTTTTTTTGAGTTGGAGTCTCACTCTGTCACCCATACTGGAGTGCAGTGGCCGCTCCCTGCCACCGCAGCCTTGACCTGCTGGGCTCCGGCGATCCTTCCGCCTCAGCCTTCCAAGTAGCTGGAACTGTAGGTGTGTGCAACCATGCCCGGCTAATTTTTTGATTTATTGTAGAGATGGGGTCTCGCCAAGTTGCCCAGGCGGGTCTCGAACCTGCAGGCTCAGGCAGTCCACTCACCTTGGCCTCCCAAAGCGCGGGATTACAGGCTGAGCCACCGAGCCTGGCCCAGTTTGAAAATATAAGGGAGAAAAATGGGTGGCTTTGTCTGTACAGAACATGTACAGTCGGTTTTCTTGTCATACCTTAAGCAATATAATATAACAGCTATTTACATAGCATTTACATTGTATTATACATTATAAGTAATAGAGACATGATTTAAAGTATATAGGAAGGCCAGGTGTGATGGCTCACACCTGCATTCCCAGCACGTTAGTAGGCAGAGGCAAAAGGATTGTCTGAACCCAGGGGTTAGAAATCAGACTGGGCCACTTAGTGAGACCTCGTCTCTACAATAAATCAAAAAATTAACCAGGTGAGGTGGCATGCACCTGTATTTCCAGCTACTTGAGACTGAGGTGGAAGGATCACCTGAGCCCTACAGATTGAAGCTGCGATAGCTGTGAGTGTGCCATTGCACTGCAGCCAAATAAATAGTATAAAGGTGGTCGTGAGTAGATTATATGCAAATACTACTCCATTTTATATAAGAGACTTGGGCATCTGTGGATTTTGATATCCATGGGGGGCCCTGGAACAAATCCCCCAGGGATACTGAGGGATGACTGAACTTTTGTATCTCTAAATAATACTCTTATACTATTATTTATTAATTTACCGATTACAGACTTTTCCTATTAACTTTCTCCTATAAGAAACTTAGTTCATATACTCACCTTTCCCGCTTCTCTCCTGTTTTTCAGTGTAGTTACAGCATAAGGTTTTTGATTCTTATATTGGTTATCTTTGTTTTTTTGAGTCAACATCTCACTCTGTTGCCCAGGCTGGAGTACAGTGGCACACTCATGGCCACTGCAGCCTCGACCTGCTGGGCTGAGGTGATCCTTTCACCTCAGCCTTCCAAGTAGCTGGAACTGCAGGTGTATGCCACCACACCCGGCTGATTTTTCTTGATTTATTATAGAGACAAGATCTCACCAAGTTGCCCAGGCTGGTCTCAAACCAATGGGTTCAGGGCAATCCTCTCACCTCCACCTCCCAAGTACTGGGATTACAAGCATGAGCCACTGCATCCAGGGTAGCATTCCTTTTTTTTTTTTTGAGTTGGAGTCTCACTCTGTCGCCCAGACTGGAGTGCAGTGGCCGCTCCCGGCCACCGCAGCCTCGACCTGCTGGGCTCCGGCGATCCTTCGCCTCAGCCTTCCAAGTAGCCGGAATTACAGGCGCGCACTACCACGCCCGGCTCATTTTTCATGTATTGTAGAGATGAGGTCTCACTGCCCAGATGGGTCTCGAACCCGCGGGCTTAGGCAATCCACTCACCTCAGCCTCCCAAAGGTGCGGGATTACAGGATGAGCCACCGAGCCCGGCTAGCATTCCTTTTTATGTGGTGGTTGCAGTAGCATGTTGAGTCCCTGAAGATATGAATTATTAATTAGTTTTTTATTTCTGTACTTTTAATTTAATTATGGAGTATTTTTTGGTGACAGTTGCATATTTAGACATATAATTTTTGAATTAAGATATATACCATGCATAATGGTAATGCAGAATCCATTTATATTTAAGAATTAGATAACTAAAAAGTTGATGAGTACTTCTGTATACATAGGCAGGGCTGTCAGCTAGTAGGTTTCTGCTTTAGGGCAGCAGATTTGTTTTTATTTGGAAGATCTCCTGAAGAGCCTTTCTGGTCTTAGAGGACAAATTGGTTTCTAGCTTGGTCATAGCCTTCCAGTAGCTATTATAGGCTATAATTTATATTGTCCTACTTCATCAGTCACCAGTCCTCTATTTTTCCTCATTCAGAAATCTGTTGAAATACTAATGGCCTCTGTTCATTGTTATCGTGGGTTTAGAGCCCCAAATTTGTTCTTGCTACTTGGTTGTATGCAGTTCTGTTGCGAGTTAGAGAGTTGGGCCATATGACTTCTTGAAGATACTTTAAGAATTGTACAGTATGACCACTACTTCATGGAAACAAAAGGAGACAGATGCTGCATTAGAGAAGCTTCTATGAAATCCTAGTTCCTAATTGACCTTCCTTGTTTTTACTCAAGTTATTGCTGCTTCATATTGTTACCGCTGATAAATTATTTAGTAGACTAGCTGTTACAGCAAGACATTAATTGATCCTGATTTCTATTGGTTCTGCTAGGTGACTTGCTTCAAATATTTAATACATTTCTATTGCATCATTGAGAAATGTGGAAGTCTGCTTATTGCTTATTTTTTTGTGAATTGGAGTCTCCGGTCACTGTCACCCAGACTGGAGTGCAGTGGCCGCTCCCGGCCTCTGCAGCCTCGACCTGCTGGACTCTGGTGATCCTTTCACCGCAGCCTTCCAAGTAGCTGGAACTACAGGCGTGCGCTACCACACCCGGCTAATTTTTTTATTTATTGTAGAGATGAGGTCTTGCCAAGTTGCCCAGGCGGTTCTCGAACCCACAGGCTCAGGCAATCTACTCACCTCAACCTCCCAAAGCGCGGGATTACAGGCTGAGCCAACCAGCCCAGCTTGATACATCTTTTGTATCAGCACATTCACACACATATTTATTTTTCCTCTTTTTTAAAAATGGAGGTATTCTCTCTGTCTACTTAGTATTAATGTCGACAATTTTCAGAGAGATTTTGGTACCATGAGAATTAGGTCATTTTGTACACTTGTTGGTGGTGTATGTAACCATTTTTTCTACCAGACTATCATTGTCTTACAACCTCTCTGACAAAGCTTTAAAGAGCAATATAAAATTATATCTCATTTTAAAGTAAAAAGAGATTTTCAAGCCTTGAAATTACTAGAGAGTGTTCTCAAAGCATCTAGATTCCTAGAGGCTGCTAGTGTCATGTGTTTTGACTAATGGAAAGGTTCTTCATAGTCTCCATAGTCTTCTGGAAAAGACAAGCTTCTGATGACTTCTACTTCTTCCTTTGACTCAGCATGCCTTTGTGGGAGTATGAGAGGATGTGAGGAATGAACTTTCTTGGAATTCTTAAGATCACTCTTCAAGAATCTTGTCCTTTATCTAGTGCTCTCATCTTAGGTTACCTGGATGTGTCTTAGAACTTTTCCTAGAACTGAGTCATGAAAGTTGCATTCTTGAAAGAGCTGCCTATAGCGCGTGCCTGTAGTTCCAGCTACTTGGAAGGCTGAGGCAGAAGGATCGCTGGAGCCCAGCAGGTTGAGGCTGCGGTGACTTGGAGCGGCCACTGCACTCCAGTCTGGATGACAGAGTGAGACTCCAACTCAAAAAAAAAGAAAGAAAGAGCTGCCTAGCCAAGCACAGTTAATTGGTCCAGAAGAGGCAATGATTATCTGTAACTAACTCCTCCGTGGGACAAGGAGACTCAGTAGCAAAGGAATTGTATTGAACTTTTTGTATAACTTCTAAACCCGGCATTTTATCCTTTTAGAATATGTAGCTGGTTTCAGAAATGATGAATGAGAAAACAATAATTTTAGTGTAGTAATTAGCTAAAACCTATTGAAAAGTTAAAGTGTCTAAGAGTTGGAATTGTTTTATCTTGACTATCAATACAGGTGTTTCTATGTTGCAGTAAAGTAGTAGTAAAGTGAAAAAAATCAGCTAATTTTGTTATTTTACGCTGGTTAGATTAAAGATTAAGCAGTAAGCTGCTGAATAAATAACACTGAAAAGGCGGTCCCATATTACTTTTTTTTTTCCAGTAATTTTTGCCTGTTTCTTTCAAGAGATAAACTCTTGGCCTTTTTTTTTCAGTTTTAATAGAGAGATTAAGGCATTAAGTAAAGACCAGGAGTTCTTCACTCCCTAGTCTTCTGCGTTTTAGTGTTTGCCATTTTGATTAGAATGAGATACTGATTTATGTCTCATCCCTTAATTTACGAACAATAAAAAAACTTAAACTTTTCTTATTAAGAAAGCCATATTTGCTTACTATATAAAATTATAAAATAAGACACGTTAAACGAAAATTGAATACCCTGCTCCTCCTGCCCCTTGTTCCAACCTCCCCAGAGATGTGGTGGACATGATCTTAAATCCTTGTTTATGTAGTCCTCTATACAAAGGTATATTGTTTACAAAAATAAAATCATTCTATGAGGGCTGTTTATTTACTTTTGTAGATTACTTCATATCTTATTTAGCCTTTCCCTTATTATAGGACCTTAAGTTGTTTTTACTCTTTTTTCAAACAGTAGTATTAGGAATATCCTTGCAGCTAAATCTTTGAATTCTAGTTGTTATGAGCATTTATTTTATTATGCTTAGTAGCTGCTTGTGAATTTCTTGTTCATGTTCTATTCACCTTTTTTCAATAATTGTCTTTTCCACATTCTTTTTTTTGAGTTGGAGTCTCACTCAGTCGCCCAGACTGGAGTACAGTGGCCGCTCCTGGCCACCGCAGCCTCGAGCTGCTGGGCTCTGACGATCCTTCCACCTCAGCCCTCCAAGTAGCTGGAACTACAGGCGCACACTACCACGCCCAGCTAATTTTTGATTTATTGTAGAGATGAGGTCTTGCCAAGTTGCCCAGGCGGGTCTCGAACCCGCGGGCTCAGGCAATCCACTCACCTCAGCCTCCCAAAGTGCTGGGATTACAGGCTGAGCCACCAAGCCCGGCTACATTCATTTTTTTAAAGTCCTTTATAATTAAGGATGTCAATATATATTAACATATAATTATATATTATATGTAACATAATTTACAAACAACATATATAATTAGTTATACCCTTCTTGTAGTTAGCATTTGTTTTCCTAATTTGTTTCCTTTTTGATTTCTTGATGCACATTTTCTCAGTGGCACACCAAGAAAATTGTGCTTCACCAAAGTTCACCTTTATTTTCTATTTTTATGGCAATGATTTTATTTTTTATGTTTAAAGATAATTTTAATAAATTTGGAAGTAATTTTGGTAAAAGATATGAGTGGGCTGGATCAAACACCAGAGCAAATTATTATTTCCTTATTATTATGAAATGTTGTCTTTATCACACACTAAATTTTATATGTGTGTTTCTGGACTTTTTGATATATACAATGATTGTGTGTTTATTCTTGCTCTTCTGCCATACTGTTTTAATGACAGTATTTTTCTTCAATCAAAAGTAATATGGTTGAGATGACAATTTACTTGAAAATTAATATTCCAGACATGTTTTTTAAGTGCTGATACATCACAGGAAACAACTTTTTGTTTTAGTATAATTATAATACTAAAGATTCACTAAATATTAGCTTTATATTAAGCCTGTGTTAAGCTCTTATTTGTGTTTTCTAGTTTATGGTAATTCATTTCTTGTAGTAACGTATTCTACATACCGTATGGTTAATCACAACATAAATTTTTCCAACTAGTTAACTGTTGTAATAACTCAGCACAGGAATTACCAGCTGAAAATGAATACAATAGAGGACATAAATAGAACCAGAAAATGGACAAAACTACATAAAAATTATAAAATGACTTCTGGTGCAATAAAATCATCCTATATATGACTTCATATAAATGACCTCAAGATGCAGTTTTGTTTTGTTAAATTGCTTGTAGTGGTTTAAATTATTATAGTATGTTTAATAGATTTCACTGTAGAAGTTTTCAGGTATATAATAAAGTAAACTAGAATAATGAACTCTTGTGTATCTATCATCCATCTTGAGGAAATAGTGATATATTGTTCCTGTTTTTTTTCCTCCCTCTTCTTCATCGTTCAGGGGGTTGGGGCACTATTGTACTTTACTGCAAATCCCAGATAATCATCTTCTCAGATAGTCCAGTGTGTATATCTAACAGATAAAAATCCTTTTAAAAAATTGTCACAATATGATTACCTACCCAACAGCTAACAATCATTCTTAATGTCATGTTCAATTTCTCCTAATTGTATCAAAATTTATTTTTACAGGTGGCTTGTTCAAATAAAAATCTAAGCAAGGTGTGCACGTTGCATTTGGTCAATGTGTCTCTTAAATGTTTTTACTTACTTATTTTGGTGTCGCTTATTGGAGGGACTATCTCATTAGGTTTGTAGAATATCCCAGAGTCTGAATTTGACTGGTGGTATCTTAATGATGCTATTTATCTCATTCCTCCATCCCCTTTAGAAAATCAAATCCAGAGGCTCGGTGATATTCCTGTTTTAGAGTTGTTGAAAAGAATAACTCTTAGGCGATGCTGTGTACTTTCTGTTGCATCTTATCAGGAGATGCATATGGAGCGATCCATAATAGTACATTGTAATATATGGTAGGTTGGTCCTTGATTATTTTTTAGGACCTTTCTTCTGGAATCCTGTTCTTTTAAAAAAACAATCACATAATAGTTTCAGTGCATTTGTTTTGTCACTTGTATTCGCCCATATTCTCTTCATTTATAAAGGTTTAACAGATTAGACACCATTTTATAAATGAGCTACAAGCTAAGGAAAATTGTTTTTCTAAGGCCATAACTTAAGTTACATAGCCTAAAAAGTGGTAAATTATCTAGTACTGTAGTTCTTAGAGCTTTTTGGATCACACATAACTTTGAAAATACAATGAAAGTTGTGGACCCTGTCCCTTAAAATTGTACTTGAATGTTTATACAGAATTTGGCAATTTCATTTCAGGAGATTTAAAGACAGCCTCTGCTGTCTCCATTCATGAGCTCCAGTTAAAGACCTCCTACTTTAGCTTATTCTTTAATTCTTATTCTTTCCTCTTATGTTGGCATATTCTCCTTTTATTGTACTAGCTGTGCAAGATGACTCTTTTCATTTGAACTAACTCTTCTGTCCGTATGGTTGGTTGGTTGGTTGATTGATTCTTTATTCTTTTTTAAATCAGAGTCTCTTTCCGTCTCCCAGGCTGGAGTGCAGTGGCATGCTCATGGCTACTGCAGCCTTGACCTGCTGGGCTCAGGCGATCCTTCCCCCTCAGCCTTCCAAGTAGTTGGAACCACAGGCGTTGTGCCACCACATCTGGCACATTTTTTGATTTATTGTAGAAACGAGGCCTCACCAGGTTGCCCAAGCTGGTCTCAAACCCCTGGGCTCAGGCACTCCTCTTGCCTCCACCTCCCAGAGTAAAATCTGGAGTATATCTAAAACTTAAGTATATAGCTTGGTATCTACCCTCTAGTGTAGCTTGATCAAATTAAGTGCCTGACTTTTTTAGTCTAATTTAGTTGATGTACCTTATGTCTCAAAATTTTTATGATGAGCTGATATTACTGTATAGATCATCTGACATCTAATTTTTTATGTTCCTCTTCCCAGCAATCTGCAGAGCGCTGTGTAAGCACATTGCTTGATCTAATCCAAACCAAAGTAAATTATGTGGTCCAAGAAGCAATTGTTGTCATCAGGGACATCTTCCGGAAATACCCCAACAAGTATGTCCAAATACTTCTATTTCTTTTTCTCAAATCATTTAGGAAATGTTTAAATAAGGCACTTTGGAATTGATCAGATGAGAATTATTCTTTTTAATGTGACTGGTCATAATAGGATACTTTTATTAAACATCGGATTCATTCATATAAAGTGGTTAGCACAAGGATTAAAATCTGAGTTTTCACTCTGCTTTATTTATTTTAGAAAAATTGAAGCTCTGAGCCTGGCATGGTGGCTCATATCTGTAATCCCAGCAATTTGGGAGACTGAGGCAAGAGACTATCATTGAGTCTATGGGTTTGAGACCAGCCTGGGCAGCATAGTAAGACCTCATCTCTACAAAAAAAATCAGAAGATTAGCATGACGTGGTGGCGTATGCCTGTAGTCCCCGCTACTCAGGGGGCTGAGGTAGAAGGATTGCGTGAGCCTAGGAGTTTGAGGTTAAGACTGTAGTGAGCCATGATCATGCCACTGTACTCCGGCCTGGGTGACAAAATGAGACCCTGACTCAAAAAAAAGGAAAGAAAAGAAAAATTGAAACTTTGCCTGACTTGCATTGTCTATTAGCATATATTAAAGTTAACATAACAAGATTCTTTGATGACAAAGTTATCATTAAGTAGGATATCTATATATTCTAGGCTGTCTGTGTATAATCTCATTTTATGCCTTGTTATCCAGACATAATTGATGATTGTGCACCTTTTCTCTGAGAAATAGTAAATCATATAACCACCCTACAGTAAAAGCCAGAAAAGTAACAGCTGTTCTGTTCACTTTGCATGTTGCCCTACTGCATTGTGGAAAATTATAGAACATATAACAAATTATCAGAGTCTTAGGCTGTTTCTGAAATGTGTAGCTTCTCCCATACAGATAGGCAAAATGTGTATTTTTACTCCATACATTTTTCAGATTGAGGCCTCTTAGTGTACAAAGCAAAAATACATTTATTTTTATTTTTATTTTATTTTTTTGAGTTGGAGTCTCACTCTATCGCCCAGACTGGAGTGCAGTGGCCGCTCCCGGCCACCGCAGCCTCGACCTGCTGGGTTCCGGCGATCCTTCCTCCTCAGCCTTCCAAGGAGCTGGAACTACAGGCATGCGCTACCACGCCCGGCTGATTTTTGATTTATTGTAGAGATGAGGTCTCGCCAGGTTGCCCAGGCAGGTCTCGAACCTGCGGGCTCAGGCAGTCCCCTCACCTCAGCCTCCCAAAGGTGCAGAATTACAGGCTGAGCCACTGAGCCTGGCTCAAAAATACATTTTTAGATTTGATTTTGAAAGCAAATAATTAAGAAATCTGAAAGTGAAATATCAGGTCTTGTAAGTATTTTCAATCTCATTTTGCCTTACAATCATAGATCTTTTGCCAAAGTTTCCGATTAGTCTTTATTTTTTTTTTCGGACTAGTCTTTAAAGGTAATGTTAAATGAAGCAACTTGCAGTAAGTTAACTTAGTGATGAGCTCAAGAATTGGTAGAAATATTTTGGCAGGTGTTAGTTTATTAAGCATTGTGCACATTTAAAAATTTTTTAGAAATAGTTTTGGAAAGAATACCATATATTTACACCACTCTCCCATGTAAAAGGGGTATTAGGTTCTTAAACTTTTGTTGTTGTTGTTGTTGTCGGCCCCCCCACTTCTTTTTCTTAATTAATTTTTTTAGAGATGGAGTTTTGCTATTTTGGCTGATCTGCACTTGAACTCCTGGCTCAAGTGATCCTCCTTCCTCAGCCTCCCAAGTTGCTAGGGCTATAGGTGCTACACCTGACTTTTAAACTTCTTAATTAAGGGTAGAGATGTGCATCTCAATATGATTTGTAGAGAAGTGTGTATTTCTGGTTTGTGTTAATAAGAGTTATGATAGTTAATTTTTTTCTTTTCTTTTTTTTGAGTAGGCATCTCACTGTTGCCCAGGCTGGTGTGTAGTGGCACACTCATGGCTACCACAGCCTCGACCTGCTGTGTTCAGGTGATCCTTTCACCTCAACCTTCCAAATAGCTGGGACCACAGGCACAAACCTAATTTTTTTGATTTATTGTAGAGATGAGGTCTTGCTAAGTTGCCCAGGCTGATCTCAAAACCTCTGGACTTAGGCAATCCTCTTGCCTCTGCCTCCCAGAATGCTAAGATTACAGGCGTGAGCGCCCCTGTGCCTGGCAACAGTTAAGTAGTCAAGAACTTGGTTTAATCAGTGGAAGTGGGACAGAGAATTAAGTGTACTATTCAGTTGTCCACTTCTAATTTATTATACAGCATTATTCTGATGTTTAAAACCATGTTAGCCAAGGAGTGGATTCAACGTGGTGAACAGAGAGCTTTAGATCTGTAAAAATAAGTATTTGAATTACTTGCTTCTTTGGAGAAGTAAGTCATTAATGCAGGTAAGTGGGGAAGGAAGAACATAAAGGAAATCTCTTTTATAAAAGTAAAGGATAGGTAGATTAAGGGCTAGAGTTACCATTTCCAGTCTGGATACTATTGTTGTCTAACTTAATTTGTCTAAACATAAAGTAGAATATCTGTTTCAGTCTACCATGAAGGCAAAAGGGAATAATAGGAAAATTGTTTGGTCTACTTTTAAGAAATATTGTTGGTATTATTTATATTATCTTACACCACAGTGTTTTTTTAATTTAAAAAATATGATGAGTTTTTATTTGAAAAAATCTGATGTTTTTATCTTCTAGTTATGAAAACATAATTGAAAGCAAATTTAAGAAATTTATGCTTTTCTAACTTAAAACCTATATATTCTCTTGACTAAAAACCTTTATAGTTTGGTCGTTTGATTTAGGGTCCCTTGTTTGTGGTTTTTGCCTTTAGCCTTAACTATTTAATACAGTTTTTAGTTTTGTCCTTAGTAACAATAGTCCATTTTTAAAATACCAGGTATGAAAGTATCATTGCCACTCTATGTGAGAACTTAGACTCACTGGATGAGCCAGATGCCCGAGCAGCTATGATTTGGATTGTGGGAGAATATGCTGAAAGAATTGACAATGCAGATGAGTTACTAGAGAGCTTCCTGGAAGGTTTTCATGATGAAAGCACTCAGGTAAGTTCTCATCTATCCTGTTAGTCCTAGATCTCTTTGAGAAGATTTCAGACAAAGTAAAGGTTAGGCAGTTTCTTCTGTGTGCTTTTATATGACTTTTTCAGTTCTGCTGATTTCTAGTGTAACAAATCTGCACTTAGACAAGTAGTTCTCCAACTTTAATGAGCATTAGAAACACATGGAGGGGTTGTAAAAACACAGGTTACTGAGCCTTACTTTAAATATCTGACTCAGGTCTGAGATGGGCCCTAGGTATTCGCATTTCTTATGAAGTTCCGGGTGATGTTGGTGTCGCTAGTTGTCCAGAACCACACTTTACAATCACTGACTTGGAGCTGTAGTTATCACATTTTAATTCTCTGTCACCTAAGGATGCTTACACATTTATGTGAGTATTGGCTGTGTCTCATTTTGGCATGAATTTTCACCTGGGGCTGTGGTGAGGCTTGAAATGATTTTCTGTGGATACTTCCCATCTTCTATCCCTCTCCCCTACAAAAATTAGAGCCACAGGCCCTGAGAATTAGATAAATTATTAAGCCTTTTTTTTCCCCTGGAAATTGCACTCAAGCAAATAGAAGTTAATGTGCATAATCTACTATAGTAATTTTAATAGACCTATTCAGGAATGCATACAAGCTGGTAACTTTGTGGTTTAGCAGCCCCCTCCTAATTGACCGTGTTCTGACATAATTCTAGTGTCTTAGCTCTTGCCCCAGTATTACAAATGATTCCATAATTCTCCCAAAATTGTAGCTTTTTGATAGAAATAAATAAAAAGTCTTGCTCAGGAACTAGTTTCCTTTAGTATGTTAGCAGGTACTTTAAGAAATACAATTAATTCTCTGGCCCAGATGTAAACAAGCAATATTTGGTGCATTTTGAGAATAGAAGCCTAGTGAGTTTTTAGTCGAATACTTTTGTATTTCACACAAATACTATCTGTTGACTGAGTTTTAACCTTTTGTCTCTTAATCAAAATTAGAAAAACCTCATAGTAATTCATAGTTGGGGAGACATCACTTTGGAGATGATAGCCAGGAATAATGCCAAAGCCATTCTTTCACACTCTCAAGTTATGTCCGTTTAGGTGCAGCTCACTCTGCTTACTGCCATAGTGAAGCTGTTTCTCAAGAAACCATCAGAAACACAGGAGCTGGTCCAGCAAGTCTTGAGTTTGGCAACACAGGTAAGAAATCTGGAAAAAGTGAGAGGTTTATATGTCTTGTTTTTTCTATTTTTTTGAGTTGGACTCTCACTGTCACCTGGGTTAGAGTACAGTGGACACAGGTGATCCTTCTGCCTAAGCCCTTAGTAGCTGGGGCTATAGGCACATACCATCAAACCCGGCTAACTTTTTTTTATTTTTTGTGGAGACGAGATCTCACTGAGTTGCCTAGGCTGGTCTTGAGCTCCCGGACTCAAGCATTCCTTCCACCTTGGCCTCTCAAAGTGCTGGGGTTACAGGCATGAGCCACCATACCCAGCCTGTCTTGTTTTAAATTAAAGGAAATTATGAAATTCTTCCCAGCAAGGTTCATTTGGGGAAGTTTTAGTTGAAGGAGATACAGCCTTTAGATACTGTTAAAATATTAAAACAGTGCCTTTTAACACATTCCATTGAACAGTAGCTGGTTGTATGACTTTTAAATAAGTTGACTCCGATTTTCATGAGAATTCATGAAAATTGAGCATGCACTCTTTAGTGTTAATGAAGGACATATGTGAAAATCACATTGTCTGATAGTACCTCCTTTTGGATGACTTCATCTTTCCAATGAACCTACCATGTAGAGATGATAGTTACCCTGACAAAATTTCTTAGATTGTTCTGCCTTCTAGAGTAGTTGCCATTCTCTTAGAGATAATTTTAAAGTGCTTATATGTTTCCTTGAAAGATTTGATATATTTGGTCCTCCTTGGAATTATTTGATATTTTTGGTCAGAAAAAAGGTTCAGATGTATTCTGATTTTAGGAATGTAGCAACTGACCTTAAGGATCAAATTACCATTTTAGATCCACAAAAATAGAATTAATTACTTTTTCTTTTGTAACTCATACAGTGATCATCAGTACATCATGATTTAGTAGTGTTCTTAGTTGGATTCTAGAATAGGCTAGCAGGCTGTCAGAGTTAAAATGTGTATTACCTGCACATGAAATTTGATTCAGAGATTCAATTTACCATTTTTCTGTCTTCTTCATCTCTATAATGGTATATTATCAAAATTCAAAACCCTTTTACAGCACTTTGCCTAGGCCTCAGCTGTCATTTTTCCTATTATTTTATTTATTTGTTTGTTGGTTTGTTTTGAGTTGGAGTCTCACTCTGTCGCCCAGACTGGAGTGCAGTGACACGCTCCCGGCCACCGCGGCCTCGCCCTGCTGGGCTCCAGCGATCCTTCCACCTCAGCCTTCCAAGTAGCCGGAACTACAGGCGCGCGCTACCATGCCTGGCTAATTTTTGATTTATTGTAGAGATGAGGTCTTGCCAAGTTGCCCGGGCGAGTCTCGAATCCGCGGGCTCAGGAAATCAACGTGCCTCGACCTCCCACGGGCTCAGGAAATCAACGTGCCTCGACCTCCCAAAGTCCTGGGATTACAGGCTGAGCCACCAAGCCCGTCCCCTATTATTTAGTTAATAACTTTAAAACATTTATTTGTAAGAGCTTTTTGAAGTTTTTTTTATTTCTTTGAGTTGGAGTCTCACTCTCCTTCAGACTGGAGTACAGTGGCACAATCACAGCTCACTGCAGTCTCAACTTCCTGGGCTCAGGTGATCCTTCCTCCTCAGCCTCTACTTGCCACCACAACTGACTGTTTTTGATTTTTTTGTAGAGACAAGGTCTCACTGTTTTGCCTAGGCTGGTCTTGAATTTCTGGGCTCAAGCAATCTTCCTACTTTGGCCTCCCAAAGTGCTGGGATTACAGGTATGAGCCACTGTGCCTGGCTTTACAAGTCTTAGCTGGGTTTGCCTTATTGTGACCTCCATGTGAAAAATGAGGCAGTGAAGGCTGGCTTGCAGTAGGCCTGATAAATCATCTTTCAGAATGACAGAGTTTGAGCAGTAGGAGATCCTTCCCTACTCTTGAATTTTGGTCTTGGGAAATCTGTACTCATTTCTCATACAACTGCATTTTTTAAGTCATTGTCTGTTTAGATTTATGATGTACATACCCTTTGATCCAGTAACTCTGTCTCCAGCAGCTTACTTTATTGCAGCTTTTGGATTTGTGGGGAAACCTCAAACATTTTTCACAGAAGTATATAATTTTGTGCATCCCTGTAGGAATTTTTTTGGGGTCACTTGGTTAAATTATTTGCACGATATATAAGAGAAATAATTTGAAGTTAAAAGTATTTTATTTTTATAAGTATAGTATTAAACTGTGTATTATAAAGTTTAGCACCTTTAACAATTTCATACCTTTAATACCTTTAGGTCATCTATAAAGACAAACTGAATTTTCTAGTAAGTCAAATGCAGTGTTTGTTTTCATATGAAAGAAGCATAATTTATCTATAAATTCTAAACAACATGTGCTTTGGGGACTGAATATATAGATTTAAATTATATTTTATGTATCAAAAAATGTAGGAGGAGGTTGCTTTCCTAACTGATATTTTGAGAAACTTGTATCCTACTCTTTTAAAAAATTGACTTGTCTTTGTTTTCAAATGAGGATCTAAGGGAGGAGGTTTCAGGCTATATTTATAAACAGGAGCAAATCACCCCCTCAAAAAGCAAAAGAAAATCAACTAAATTGGATATGATTACCACTGTATCCTTTTTTAACCATGACATTTCAAATACTGGAGACATTTGACACATATATAAACATTTCTGTTAGAATAATGCAACCTATTAATATAAAGATTATCTTGTGATGAAATTCACCATTTTAATATTCCATTAACTTGCTGCATCACAGTGTTCTTTATGCATTTGTTTTTCCCGATAATCCATGATGAGTGCAAATTAAACAATATTTTGACTGAGGAAAAAACATTTTAAACTAGTTAAAAGCATCAGGATGACTGCCGATATTGAGCTGAATGTAAGTGGGTAAATCATGAACCAATTCATCTGCTCACTTACAAACTCACATGGAAGCCCTCAAATTGGCCCTATTTTATTTCTTATTTTTTTATTTTTATTTTTTATTATAAAGATGTAGGGTACAATTCAGGGTTAGGTATACAGATGTTGATTATGCAGGTACCCTTGTTGATGAGGTATGCCCCTCCTTCCCCTAGCAGTTTCCCTCAACTGCCAATCCCACCCCCTCCCTGACAGTTTTCCACTAGGGATTCCCAGTTTGACAATCCCTTTCTTATAGTATTATAATAATTGTTCAAGTTTCGCTCATGAGTGAAAACATGTGGTACTCTGTTCTTTGTTTCTGTGATAGATCACTGAGTATGATA